AGTGGCTGAGCGCGCGGCCCGACGCGTCGACAGAGAGCCAGACAATGACATAATCCCCCCCGCAACACCTGACGAACTAAGACTGACAATACGCAGACTTAAAAACAGAAAAGCCCCCGGACCCGACAATATACATAACACGACACTTAAACGACTACCACACAAGGGCCTCATGGCCCTACTAAACATAACAAACGCGACACTCAGACTAAGACACTTCCCTACCCGCTGGAAAACAGCAAACATAATCCTTATCCCAAAACCCAACAAAGATCACACCATCCCATCCAACTACCGGCCCATTAGCCTGCTCCCGGCTATGAGCAAAGTGGTAGAAAAAATTATCCTAACCCGTCTAAGAACCCACTCCCAAGAACTGCAAGTCATTCCAGACGAGCAGTTCGCCTTCCGACCCAATCACTCCACTGAACTCCAAATCCTTCGCCTTACCGAGCACATCACGGCGGCCTTCAACAGGGGACAGTACACTGGTGCTGTCTTCCTGGACGTCGCAAAGGCCTTCGATACGGACGCGTCGACAGAGAACCAGACAATGACATAATAATAATAATATCCCATATCCTTTACCAAACTCATAAAATCCTACCTACACCACCGAAAATTCCGCATCCAAATCCAAGATTTTCTTTCCACCACCCGTCTCATGGAGGCCGGTGTCCCCCAGGGCACCGTCCTGTCCTCACACCTATATACCATTTACAACTCCGACATCACACATTCCCCCAACACCAACATATACTTATACGCCGACGACCTGACAATCACATCCCAATCCGTAGATCCTAGATATTCCGTCTCCCTCCTCCAAAACTCCTTAGACCAACTTGAAACCTGGTGCAACAGGTGGAAAGTCAAAATTAATCCCAACAAAAGTTCGGCTATCCTTTTTACCAAACGAAAAATCCCACAAAACCTCGACAGACTGACACTATCCCAGGAACCTATCTCCTGGAATCGACAAACACGATACCTGGGCGTGACGATGGACCAGCGTCTCACGTGGAAACCGCACATCGTGGAGACGGTGGCGCGAGCGAAGACCACCAGGGCTAGGCTCTATCCCTTACTCAAAGGTGGAAACACCCTCAGTTTAAGGAATAAGCGAACGCTTATCAAGGTGGTACTTCAACCGCAGCTAACCTACGCCTCCACGGCGTGGGGTCACGCGGCAAAAAGCCACTTAAAGTCATTACAGGCTGTGGAAAACATAGCCCTCCGCACGGCCACCGACGCGCCCTGGTACGTAAGAAACACTGACATATTACGAGACTTACAATACACAAACGCTACACAGACAATAAGACAAAACGCGGAGAAACGATTTGACGTAGCCGCTAGACATGACAATCCCCTCCTCAGGCAAGCCGTTGACTACGTACCCGACGTGACCGACAAACACAAAAGACCTAGACACCAACTTTTTGACCCTGGGTGACCACCCTAACGACATCCCCCCCCTGCCCGCTAACCTTTTCTGTTTCAGAGACCGCCAGGATCAAGAAACTAGGACAACGACACACACACACAAATACACACCCCCCCCATACCCTCCTTACCACTCCCTTCCCGCGCTAGCCTAAGCTAGCCACATTAGCAAAGCGCATCCCAGGCTGCATAGCCGCACCTCCTTACCCAACCATAAACATGACACCACCCCCGGGGTTTACACAGACGAGCCTGCGAAGCAAGAAGAGCGCCAGAAGAAAGGGCCCTAGCCGGCGGGGCCCAGCCAGGACAAAAGGAGGTCCCACAAAGCGCCTACACCGGCCGCATTTGCGGTCGGGGTAGACGACGGATGGGGCCCACCTACGAAGGCTGTCCAGGCCTACACGAGATGAGGCGGGATAAAGAGGGATAATCCCCCTCGATCCCAAATCATTGAGGCCAATTTCTAGCCATGGAATAATGGCCCCTACGATCCCAAATCATTGTGGCCAATCTCTAGCCATGGAATAATGGCGCTTGTGGTCATAGTCTATGATCAGACCACTGACGTCCATATGTTTTGTTTCTGATTATTTATTTTATTTGTTCTATGGCTGTCCGTTTCTAACCTAAAAAGTCTTGTTGACAATTAGTAATTTATTTTTCCATATAAAAATAAAACAGATATGCCATCGAAAAAAAGAAAATACAATGCGAGATTTCCTGCGGTATGTGGTTATTTTGGAATATCAATAAAAATTACATTTTTAATTTTTGCAGGGTCGAATTAAAAAAATTATGCAAACAGATGAAGAAGTTGGAAAAGTGGCACAGGCAGTACCAGTTATTATCTATATCCTTTTTTGTTAGATCTCGTTTTTCTCTAAAAATTACGCGCATTGCTATTAAATATGTCATGTAAATTAATTAAATATGGGCTTTAGGATGTTGTTACCTTAGGTAAATTGTAGTAAGTACGAGTGAAGTACATATGAATGCAATCAGTTTTATAATTTGGATATACTTGACCCTTGAAGCAAATTAGTGGTTGACAAATTGTCATTGTTTAATTAAAAGTGAATTATGACAATTAGTGTAGAATACTTGTGGTATACATAATAGTGTGAAACCTGAAATATGACAGTATACGATTAAGGCTACAGACGTGATTTTTATTCCAGGAGGGGATTTTGTTTCATATATTGTAATGGTAGACAAAAATGTTAACAAAAGAATTTATTAAACATTGTAATTAATCATATTAAAAAAAATCTGTGGCAAAAAGAAATGTATTAAATATATATAAAATATATAGCAGTAATAATTAGCAAAATGTTGATTTTGCAATAACTTTATGTGGGTGATAGTATAAAGCTGTTTAATATTGAAAACTTTATTTCCTAAATCTTCAAAATTTTAAAATATATATATATATGGTGACAGAGTGGTATTTTCCTAAAGACTAGGGGGCGATTGCCTGAGGCAGCTCTTCTGGGTTTATTGCTGACATTTTATATTTACCAACAGATACTGTGGTGGCAGAAAATTTTCGCCCAGGGCACATAATTTAAAAATACACCCCTGTATGACAATATTGCATATTTCTTACTATTTGGAATTCAACATCCAACAGTAATGTGAAAGAAAAATATATTGATTGTGAACTGCAGCAGAATTTAATGAATTCTGAATTAATAGGTGCCTATTGGTTCAAAATTATTTTATATTGTGAAAAGAGAGTTAATAATTCAGTTTAAAAAATATTAAATTGTGGTTTATTTCAATATATTATTCTTTAAGTATGTTATTTGATTAGTTGGTTTTTAGAGAATTTTTTTGTAAAATGCTTTATATAAGATAGTAACATTTTCCTTAATGTAAATATACCTAGAACCTTGGAACTTTTCGTGGAATCGCTTTTAACAAAATCAATGCAGATAACACAAGCCAGAAATGCTAAAACATTAACTCCATCCCACATGAAGCAGTGTATATTATCAGAGAGTCGATTTGACTTTTTAAAAGACTTAGTGAAAAATATTCCTGATGCTAGTGTACAAGAAGACAATGAAAATAATGCTATTTGTGAGGAGAATTCAGAGAAAAATGAAGGTGATTCGGATGATGCTGGAAATTCAATGGAGGTTGTTACTTCGCCAGAAGCAGGTTCTCCTGTTCAAGTCACCGCAAATTATTATAATGAACAGAGTACTTCTACTAGTAGAACACCAGTAATTCAATACGGACCAAAAATTGCACAAGAAAATAAAAAAATAAATTTTTCTGTAAACAGTTTATTAGGACAAAAAGATGAACCAAAACTTCACATTACAATAGCTTCAGAACAGTTATCTATCCCTTCAGTAGTTTCCACACCCACAAATAAATCTACCAATAGTGTGCCACCAAAAGTAGCAAGTACTGATAATATTCCACCCCTTATTCCTATCTCAAATGCTTACTGTCAAAATTCTGGTGACAACTTATGTATTGATGAAGATTACGATAACTGAAGGTAAGATTTTTTTCACAATGAAACGAGTAAATACAATGTACTATTTTTTTTGTATATTTTAGGATAATTCAAATACTGTTTTACACATTAGTTTTTAATAAAATTTGGAGATTTGTCAGTATATCAAATATTTTAATAATTTATGTATCTGATTGATTTATTTTATAATAAAAAATATATTTAAATGACATTAAACTACTATAACTTTTACTAACACAACTGGTACAGGTGATTGGGATGGATATGCATGTTTTAAAGAGATAGAGATGTTTGTTCTGAAACTCTGGTTGGAAATTTATATTAATTTATAGAAGCTGGTTAGTTTGCCTCAAAATTCCTGAGAAATGCATTAATATAGATAATCTATTACACAGAAATTTGAGGGCCCAAGGCAAGATTTGAATTTTGTGCTCCCAAAACTTATTTTGTAGGGAACAATACAATAACTTTAAAGTGCAATTTAAGTTACAAGTATATTCGTACATTTACGCATTAAAAAGATATGAAATTGTTGAAATGTGAAAATATGTTAAAGGTGTACTTTCTGGCTTTTTCTGAGGCCAATTTATCAATTGCATGGTCTACATTAATACTTTTCCACAGTACAGCGAGATTATTAATGTTTTTGATCAATCTGTGATCATAAATAATTTTTGTTAAGCTTGGTGAATAGCAATCCCTATATTAGGATAACTGGTCCTTAATATACCCGTGCTCCAGCAGGCTGCGGGTCTGCTAGTGCCGCCTCCGCAGTTAGCCCCTAGCTACGATGCTGTATAGAGTTTAAATCTTAAACTCTATAAAGGTTATACATTCTATGTTATTCTGAAATTTTTTTCAGTAGATGATAGTCGTGGGCGAGAATAAACTAATAAATTTTAAAATCTAGGTGCATTTTGTGACGACCACTGCGTTTTCAAGGCGATGGGTAACAAGCTTTATTAATATCAATGAGAGATATTATGTCAGTAAAAATGTTTATGTTATGAACATTTTTACCCAAAGGATATAAAGAAATCATCAGTCTAAATATTTTTAGACCATAGCTAGTACGGTTCACATTTAAAAAAAATATAAGATTACTTCACAGTTGCATAACCATGAGGTCTACAAAAAAATAGTCACCATTTAATATTATGGGAAAAAAGTTCATAGTGGTTTTTATTTAATTTAATTCATCTTTTTAAATTCTACTTATGCAACCTGAATTTAACTTCAGTAATATTTCATACTTCATATACACATAACTCTACTCCATGTGAGTGTGTTACAAAAAAACTCGATAGAAATAAAATACTCAAATTTTTGAAAACATGTTTATGAGGGGACCGCTGTAAAACCTGATCTCGCACAATGCGATTGGCATGGCGGCAAAGTCTGATAGAAACGGACAAAAACTTGAAAGGATTTCGCAAGGGAAGAAATAAATAGAATTTTATAGCACCTATTTTACTGTATATTAACAAATTCAACTGCTTTTGCCGCTATTGTTATTAATTAATAAAATTAATTTGTGGTTTTAAATAATAAAGTAATTTGACATACCTTATGTTACAACTGTCCAAAATTTTGTCCACGGCACGTAAACACATTTGGGTCCCTCTTACTCAGTGTCTACCAATTAAAACGATATCCATCAACTCTGAGTTGCTATACATGCAAGCCATTTTTGACACTAACTACTAAAAAACTATTGTAAACAGTCGGATTTCAGTATTCGAAGTTGCTGAAGCCAAGTGGCTCTTCACTCGTATTGCGAATGATGCTACAAACTATAGTTGTCCAGCAATGTAATGGTTAAAAGTACTATAACTTCAATAATTTTTTTTTTCGGAAACTAAGGATTTGACTTCATTTCTCATGCCACATCTATTCCCAAATTTCTTTGGATAAGTTGTGAATAATGATTATTTTAGAAATAATTATTACCTTTTCATTGAATTATAATTTTTTTATTATTAAAAAATACATTTTGTACATTTAATTTACTGTATTAAAATATTTTCTATAAAAAAACATTAAAAATATATACCTATTCCTACTTACATTCAATATCAGACAAATTCCTCTATTAAGCTTAAATACCTACTTCTGCCACAAGTTACAAAATAAATGGCATTTATTAAAATTTTAATTTCAAATCGTAAAAAAATTGTTTTTTATTTTTTCTTATAAAAGACAGTAGTTAATTTAACTTCCTTTTAAATTCCATTTGCTCTGTAACATTGATAGAGTATTTAGTATTGCATTATTAAGTGTCATTTGCATCAATATTTACATACATATATTAATAATATAAATAAAAAGGTAACTATATTTTACATTTAAAAACAATACACAAATTATATATAAAATAAATATTGAAAATAAATTAATACACCTACCGTAGAAGTTGTGTACAGACTTAAATATTTCTTTACATAAAATAGGAATGGATGTCTAGAAAACTAAATTATATAAATACTATTGAAGACACGAGAGTCTAATCCTAATCAAAGGAATAATACAAACTTTTGTACTCGATTTTGAACAGAAATAATATTACACTTAATACTAATTTTGAACAGAATCATAATTATCAACTATATTCATTACCTTCATACAAATTTTCGCATAGTTCAAGCAGTCTCAAAACAGGGGTTATATTATAAGGAAAAAGATTTCTTGACACTAATCGGTTAATTTGCATATTTAAACGAATGAGGACTGACATTGTGTCATCTAATTCGTTACTTCTGGAAGTACTGCCTTCTCCACAAGTACTTACAAATTTTAACCAATTTCGTTTTGTATATTTTAAAAATCTCAACAGATACAACAAAAAACATGTTTCATTACTAACTAAAAAATCTAACAAAACACCAGAGTCATGACTAACAATTTTCAAAAATTCGATGAAGGAGTGGATCGGATTCAGCATATTAATTAGATCGGGAAAAACCGCATTTCTATACGATATACCAACAGTTATATCCAATGTACAAACCATAGATTCAATCATGTAGTCGTCTTGGTCGTTAAATAAATGAATTAATATTTTAGAAAAAGGAGTCTCAGGGTGGAAATCTAAACTATTTTTTATAAAAATATCAACTTTCTTTAACACATCTCTAATGGATCGTTCAATAAGTTGCATATCTTGATAAAAATCATTGTCATCAGAACCCACACTAGAATCAGAACTATCAGATCTGGTTTCTTTTATCGTGATAGCAACAGATTTCAGAACTAATAGGACCATTTTTTGCAATAACGTTTTGTCAATATTAGATTGCATAGGCTGTGAACTTACGATGGTTCCAACAAAACTATTTACTGTTAACCCTTCATCTCTCCTATATGGCAATCTATCTAAAAGTCTATAATCTTTGACATACCTTACGACCCAATGAGCCAACTGACACGTATCTTCAGGCAGTACATCTTGCAGCGCTAATGTGCTGCCATAACACAGGACTTCATTGAATAAGGATAACAACTGTTTCCAGATAAGAGGGGAGAGATTACTATTTAACATGCTGACGAATTTCTCCAAACCCGCATAAAATGGTTTGGTATCAATAACGCTTAAATTTGCCTTGACAGAAATTATACTCTCCCACAAGGCTAAAAATGTTAATATGTAAGTTTGAATTTCAGTAGTTGTGTTGTGCTGAATTAAATCGTGGACTTTGTGTATCAATTCTGGCCATTTCGATTCTAAACTTTTTATTATAAGACCTTTAATGGCTGAGGTATCGTAACTCTCCGAATCGCTAAATGGAACTGTGACGCAGTTAATATTTATCTCAACTTCTTGCGAACTTGGTCCGGCAGTGTCTGAAGTATCCGCGTCTTCTAATACATGTATTTCGATGTCCTTCCATTCTACAACACGTTTCACTACCTCCAAGGCAAAATTCATTTTAATATAATCGATATTTTCCGTTGTGAGAAAATTAAGAATAGCTTCCAGCCACTCATTATTTATATTAGTTTTAGCTATTATTAAAAAGCTGCTCAATACTCTAGCTGCCAAAAAATTTACAAATTTATTTCTGGTATCACAAAGGGATATTATTTGCTCTATTAAATTATTTTCGTTGCAGATGATCGTATCGCAAATAGTGACAATTCTGGAACAAATAAAACCTTTATTATTTTGTTTCAGATAAACATCAAACAATAATTGTAAGTTTGACAAGAATTGTAACACTTTTTTGATTGACCATTCTGACAACATAGCTGTTCGAGTACCAGTTCCGTCATTTATTTGTTGACCTTCAAAAGGTCTCCGTAAAGTAGTTTCTGAAATTCCACAAATACACTGTTTAATAAGATGAATTTGAAAATCATCTAATCCATCGCCTTCATCATGAATATCTTGAATAGAAATTTGATCTAGTGACAACTGTCTATCGTGGTTTGTCTGTCTTTTATTTTGAGAATTAGGCCTAGTCAAACCATTCGGGATAGGATTAATGGAACTAACATATGGAATTGAGCTAATTACAGGAGACTGACTCGGTGTAATTATGTTAGGAGCTGGTTCAATTGAAATGTTTTCTGTATTGCTAATATATGCTAAGTTTTCTATAAAATTCTCTGGCGTAGAAGCATTGTCTTTACAGTTCATTTCATCATCTATAATCCTTTCACTTGATTTAGATTCACATTCACTAGTCCGAAAAGTTGATTTTTCTTCACAAAACTGTAAGTTAACCACATTTCTTGTAATGTCATCTTCGTTAATATTGGCAGGAAGTGAAAGATGTAATGCTTGCAAATCTGTTGGAACACCATTTTCTGCTAAATTATTGATAAAATCAGTTTCATCTAGATGTTCTGTTTCATCTCCTCTTCTTAATTTCTTCTTCAGCGGCTGTTCGGAGGTCATTTTATATCGTCTGTGTTTGAGAACCATTAGAATAGCAGATATTTATGATCTAATAGAGATTTATCTAATTCTGCCTTCTTAACAAGATCAGATGCACCTATAACAAAGATTTGTTAATATTTCACTTGGAAGTCTTGGAACACTTATTTTTTTTAAGTTTTATTCTAAATAATTAATATACAATAAACATTTTGATACGAAAGCTAAATATATCAACAATTTTTACTTATATACCTTTTAATCATCAATTTAACTCACTTTCATAACTGTGTTCAACAAGTTAATTCAGTAGCCTTTAGCATTATTCGGTTTACATCCATTTGAGTGATACCAATAAATACGTTTTAAAATAAAAAAGCTGTATTATGTCCATTGGGCTTAAAAAAATCCATAATTATATGGAATACTTAAAAAAACTAGTAATTGTTTATCAAAACACAAAATTTACACAATTAACGTCATAGACCTCCATTACGTACTATGTGCTGTGCTAGTCAATACATTAACTAAACTAAATAATGTTGTTGGACATACATTTTTAAAAAATTAATTTCAGTGGTACTTTAAAATGTTAGTTTTACATATCCTCAACATCTTTGGCAATTATTCTTTAGTTTATGGAATCCTACAATTTTTTTTAATAATATATAATAAACTCCTTTGACTAGCTTGCTCCAACAGAAAGAATGTGCGATGTTGTCAGTTCAAATAACAATTACCTTTAAATATTTAAACGAAATAATATAAATTATAAATAATATAACTTTGGTTTAATTACAGTACTTAAAATATAGCCTACATAATACTGCTTACAGATCAACTTATAAATATAACGTTTCATTAAGTGCGTAATTTGGAAGCATCTTGGAAGTCGCCATTATTCTATGGCTAGAAATTGGCCTCAATGATTTGGGATCGAGGGGGATTATCCCTCTTTATCCTGCCTCATCTCGTGTAGGCCTGGACA